TTCCCCCCCCCCCGCCCCGCTCTTTCTTTCTCTTCTGCAATGCTGGGGATCAAACCCAGGGCTTTATGCATGGTAGGGAAGAACCCTGCCAGCTGAGTTACAGCCCCAGTCCTGATGAAAGAATTCCAGAGGGAAGGGTGAATCATGTAAAACTCTTAAGTAAAATGACCACCGGAGACAGTAATTGGAGTCTGGTGAATTTACCCAGTGCAGTTCCTGTGGAGAGCTACTACTGAGACACTGATTGGAGTGGCTTTGCCCAGAAAAAGGCAAGAACTGCAGGCAGTGAAAATATAGTTTTGCTGTGGAGGCGGTCAGATAAGCAAGCAGAAACAAAAGGATCAAGAGGGTACAAGCTGCAATAATAACATTTATAAGAGAATGATCTAGAGAGAGAGGGAGAAAGAAAACAGTGTAGGAAGTAAGAATTCTCTGAGTCTTGTTAAGAAAATGTTTTTCTCTCTTTCCTTTTTCTTTTTTTAGTTGAAATAAGAGATTCTGCAGGTTTTCAGAACAGATTGTACTGTTCAGACTGGCTATTCTCAAGAGAGCCTTTAAAGTCTATTTTATTTTCTTGGAGTAAAGTTTACATTCCATAATTTTTATTTCCTTTTGAAATATTAGAAATTGACATTTAGAGGACATAGTTGAAAAAGTGTATCTTACATGTTACAGGGTAACAATCTATTTGATTAGAGGTGTGTGTGTGCATGTCTGAAATAAATTTCGGGACTTTAAACTTTACTTTTTTTCAGCATGCAGTCTGCAAATTCAGAGTCAGATGTACAACCCAACAATGAAGCACTGGTAAGAAATAAACTTTGTATGATTTGTTTTATCCAAAAAAAAGAAAAAAGTCATACAGTTAGTGAAACCATTACTTAATTTAATGGATATTGGTGCTTTCTTGGTATCGTTTAGCTTCCATATTTTACGAGTAAGTAAACATTTAAAAATAAAACTGGGAATTCTCTTTCCTAAGCGGAAGACAGGCAGAAGGGGGGCACCAGGAATTTCGGTGTGGGATGGGGTTGTCGTTCCCATCTCAGCGCGTGAGGAATGCCATGCTGCTCTCTGAGGCCTCCCACACTGAGGACATCCTGGGCTATTTTGTGCATCTGTTTGTAAATGAGGAAATCCTAGAATTCAGACAAGATACAGATCTAATACCTTACATGATTTAGTTTAATCTGGGTTTAAATCATGGCCTATTTTATTTAGATTGGGTTTAAATCACAGCCTGTTCCAGGTATAACTTGTTCATTCTCTTTCCACTCAGTCAGCTGATGACATGCACAGTTCTGATCCTCCAAGTCCTGCCTTTTCCGTGAGCTTTTTGATGCTCAGGGAAAGCTGGGTTTTCACTACCCGAGCCCCTGCTGGGCCCCTCCATTGGCAAAAGTGTTATGCTGAGGGTTGTGAAGTGTCGAAGCTGACGGACACTTGGAGGGTCACGATACTCATTCCCTTTTATGGATGTCGGAGACCTTCCCTTAAAGTAATCAGTATTCCCGGAGCTCCACCTAGAAACATTCTGGAACAATCTTTCAGTCCTTAAACGCCACGCAGAGACATTTCTGCCACAATCCTTTCAACTCTAAGGTAGAAATGATATAAAAGGAGGGTCATAGAATTAGGATTCATAGGGCACATTCGGGGTGGTACAGGTGTAGACAGGACTGGGATTCAAAAAACCTGGAATCAGGCCCAGATCTGTCGCCTGCAAGCTGTGTGATGATAGCTAAGTCTTTTGAACACTTTGAGTCTTATTTTCAGCTATAAAATAAGGATAAGGTGACTTAATCTACCTCAGATAACATATGCAGTTATGAAAATGGCGGATAAAGTGCTCAGAGATATACAAGAGTAAAAGCCGGGCGTGGTCGTGCAGACTTGCAATCCTAGCATTCAAGAGGCTGAGTCAGGAGGCTCAGTCTTGAGTTTGAGGACAGCCTGGACTACATAGTGAGACTTTGTCTCAAAAAAAAAAAAGAAATGTAAGAAATATGGAAGAGCATAGTGCTTTGGAATTGATAGTATTCAAATAAGCTCCCCTTAGACCAGGGGACTTGGCTCTATTTCTTTTGCTGTTTGGTAGTTTGTCTTCCAATAACATCCCACCAAGGTCATGGGCTCAGGACAACCAGTTCCCTCATGAGATGGGTATCCAGACTCACGTCTGCACCATTATTTCTTAAATGTTAACACATCAGACTAGTGTCATTTGTCCAATCTGGCCCCAAATAAACTGGACATAGCTTCAAAATCCATATTAATTTTCAGAAGGAGGATTTTAAAAGTTGGGGCAATATGTCAAGAGGAAATAAAATTACATTTGCAAAATAGTTTCAATCAAAATTGTGTCTTCCACTTCTAAAAATAATTTACTCTTATATTGCTTTTCTTAGATAGAGAAAAAAATCTGGATAAATAATTTTTATTGCTTTTATTTGTGCTATTTGTGATCTTGTTACCCATAGAAAGAGTGGCTCTCACCCAGACCACATCAAAAGTATTTTTCTGTGTGGTGGGTACCATTGGGTCCAAGAAATAGGAGACTTTAAGGCACCAATCTGCTTTTTTCCCTTTCCTCTAAAGAAGTTGATCAATCAGTAGACACTGCAAAGTACAAGGTGCCAATTACCACCTTAAGGATTTCTGCCTGCGGCTCCCAAGTAGATCCCTGGAGTTCAGAATCTGTCCTTCTTAATTTACAGTTGACACAGTGGAGAGCTCTGGGGCTTGAAGAAATTGGTCTGCTTTAATTTTTGTCTTTTCACCTTTCTAAACATTTAAATCGGTGTGGTGGTGCACGCCTGTAATCCCAACACTCAGGAGGCTGAGGCAGGAGGATTGCTGTGAGTTCGAGACCAGCCTGGGCTACATAGTGAGTTCCAGGTCAGTCTCAACTACATAGTGAGACCCTGTCTCAAAAAGCCAAAACATAAATAAATAAGTAAACAAACAAATAAATAAACAATAAAAATAAAAGTATACATTTAGCTGGAGGAAGTTGGGATTAGAGACTTCAAAGCCGTCTTTTATCCACGGATAACTGGTGTCTCCTTCCACCACACAGGCCCCTTCGCAGAAGCTCTAGAACATGAAATTCAGCAAAATTAACTTTGCTGTGTATGGCAAAGCAATAAATTTCAAGTGGGTCTCAGTTGCCTCTTTTAAACGATTATTTTTATTTTGGGTAGAAAAGATCAAGATGAAGGATAAAAGCCTTTCAATTGCATGGATACTTCTTGACCATCCCAGCAGATTTAAACACATTCTGCCTTGTGTTGTCATGGAATTGGAAACATTGGGTCTTAGTTTGCCTGTATGCAGTGCTTTCTACTGCTTTAGCTGTTGGGCTTCTTTGTACACTGTATGTTCTCACAGTAATATCTGGGCTTTGTTACTCTCTGTGTGCCTGCAATGAAATTGCAGCCGTTGAAATGTCTCTTCATTAGTAGCATCTGAAATAAAACAGGTGGACTTAACTCCAGGTGTAGTGCTGGGTGACTGAGATCCATGTCCCTCAGATCACAGCCCAGTGAGAGAGGCATCCAGAGTCATTGCTATTTCACTGATACTTCTCCAGGATGGGGACATAGCTCAGTAGCACTGCACTTGCCTGGCAAGTGCCTAGGCCTGAGTTTAATTCCCTGTACCAGAAAAAAGAAAAGAAAAGTACATTGATACTTTTCCTCTTGTTGCTATTATCACCAATTTATAAATTAAGAAATTAAGATGCAGTTTGGCTTAAGGAGCTTCCAGATATTAAGGGACCAAGGCATTGTGGATTCACTGTAGATGGTAGAAACACAGCCTGATCCACGAAGGGCCAGTTTAGAGCTGCTTCTCAGGGGCCAGGTGGTCTCCCTTTATCTTAGCCCTATTTTGGGCCTGTTGTTTAAACCTTCGCTCTGTTTTTCTTCTTATAGAAAACAGCTAGTGCATATAAATCATCTCATTTAAAACTGTTTGGAAAGTGAAAATTCTGTTAGAAAGGGGTTTAGGGTTAGGGTCAGGGTTGTGCTCCCTGAGCTACTCCTGGGAATCCTGGGGCACACAGAGGAGTGGCGTAGAGTCCCGGATGCTAGCGATGAGGCGGAGCCGCGCTTCCAAAATAAGAGTGTGGGGATGATGCTGTCCGTGCCCGAATATCTACTAAGGTGTTCGTAACCTGTCAAAGCTAGGCTTCCTATAAACCTGAGAAGCTATTTAGCTTTCAAGTTGTTATTTTGTGATAATTTCATTAAAGAATCATTATTTTAAGGGTCAAAAATACGGAGCACTTTTTTTGTTTTTAATCTGTGAAGTCAAATTCATAGCACAATGTACAGGAAGTCAGCTTTATGAAAAGACCGTAAAACAGCTAAAAACTTTCAATTTTATAAATTGGGGAAGGTAAACTATACTTTAATTTGTGCTGAATCATCATCTAAAACAAAAGTTTTAGAGAAAGCATATATTATTTTTTTAACATGCTAAGAGGTCTTTCAGAAGATTGTTTTCTGTGCAGAACAAAGTTTTAAATCACTAATCAAGGCTAAGGCATTAACAGCATCATTGTGCCTTAAATAGCACAGGGAGGAGGCCGAAGTTGCGGAGATACACCGTGAAGGCTTCTCCCAGAAGTCATACTCATCATCTCGCCCATGTTTTTGGCAAGAGAAATCACGTGGTCCAAAACAGTTTTAAGGGCTGGGGAATTGAGATCACGTGACAAGCCTGGGAGAAATTTCAGAAATGTCTTAATAGACAGAAAGATATAGCAATATAAAAGCTAGGTTTAAAAAAAGAATTAAACCTAAGAAAAGACACCCTGTATAGTACAGATTACAAGTTAAGGAAAACATTAGCTTCAGAAGTTTACATTTGGATAATAAATTCTATTTAACTTGCAAACAGAGGTTATTAAGAAAAATTAAAACAGATCCAGTAGTCTAAACTGAGGTTGGCCTGAGAACTTGGAGGTGTCCTTTAGAAAATGATCCTTCGCACACAATTGGGCAAGATGACCTATTTCATTTTTAATTTCTATGCTAGAATAAGTGTATAAGAAACAAAAAGTCCTGCCTTCGTGCAAATGTGTTCTTTTATTTTTTTCAAATGTCAACAGGCAAAGACATTTAGAAAACATGTGGCGTTGGAACTGATTGTTTACAGATAGGATGTTTTTCAGAATGCCCCCAAGAGGCATCAGCAGAGCAACAGCTCTTTATACACGGAAGTATTCGGGTGTCCGCAAAACTGTGCCCATGACGTTTTTTCCAGTTGATTCCTTCAAATGGCAAAATGTCCGAAACGACTGGCATCACTTAGGGAAAGTATGCGAGTTTGTGCTGTGAGGCAGTGACACACTCGATCTCTCCACAGGTGGGAAGACGGAGAGGGTTGTGGGTATCGAAGGGAAGCATGGTGGGCAGTGAAAGGGACAGAGCCAAACATTTCCTTTTAGAGATCGAAGCCAACTGTGTATTAATATTTTGGATAAAATCAAATTTCGTGGCAATTTTCTCATCTTCTGCAAGCTGAAGGTTGAAATCAGAGCAAGACTGGGCAAGGGGGAAGTGTGTGTGGAGGCCACCTCGTCAATCAGTCTGACTGAGAGATCATTTGCATTACTGTGACCTGAAAATTCCAAGTGCTCAGTTTCCCTGAGAGATGATATCCTACCAACAAGCTAGGATGCTTATCCAATCCAGCCTTTTCCTCAGGGAGAAGTGGCCCCTTGTGAGGCCCCCTCTGGGTGTTTAGTGAGAGCGTAAGAAAACTGGGGAGCCCTGGCAGTGGAGAGCACAAGGACGCAG